AGTAAGAAAAAAAATTCTAGGCTTAAAATAACTTTTAAGTAAAATCTCAGAGAGATTTTATTACTTTCTTTAAGTTACATCTCTTCCAACATTATATAAAGGAAGAATTAAAGCTAAAGCTAAATACCACTTAAACTGTTAACCTACCATTGCAAGAACTACTGACATTGTGATTAGTTTCATCAGAAATAGGCCCAGCACCTGCTGATGAATTAAAGGTCCACCTAGCATCTGCGTCCTCCTGGCTGGAAGATACTCAGTGTGTATCAAAGAGCACAGCAGTTAAGGCACAAGTAGAAGCAGTACACCCCCCATACATGCCTGTAAACTAGACCCAGCATTCCCACCTGGCCCCCATCTGACAATGCCTGTGCTCCCTCTATATGAGATTTTTGGAGGGAGAGAGAGCCAAGAAATAACATATATAAAAGTCTGATGCTCTACAGGAAGAAAACCATATCACTTGGATTACCAAGAAAAAAATCTAAAAACTATTATCAACGTCAAAGAATTTAACTTTCATTTAATCAACTTCAAATTTATTGATACTTAAGACATTTCTAAAGCTATTCATATGAAAGATGAGTTTTTTATTTTCAATCTGAAGCAGACCAAGAATCTTATAACTAAACAACAAAAATGAGCTATTAATAAAATTTAAATGTGTATAATACAGTCGCACTGTTCTGTGATCAAGTAACCATAAAATCCCTGTTAAATTACTGAGTTTCTACTAACTCAATTTTAATGCATTTTGTCATAGACTAATAACAAGACAGACAATTCCTAGACTGAGTGACATATATCTAACCCAGTTCTACAGTCAAACATAAGACCAAAGTTTTGGTTATTTACTTATATCTACTATAAACTAAATGATGGCAGATATGTGGGATGCTTCAAAAATAGTTTGCACCACAGGAGCTAATGAGCACCAGGCTAAACATTACAGTTGCTCCTCTAGGGAAGAAGCAGTAATTAACACAACAGACCCTGAAATAAAGTAAGTACATATTTCTAATTGCAGGTGTATCTAAAGTTTCCCAAGCTAAGAAATTCGCAATAGTTCATATAAAGTTTGAGTGACATCTTAAAAAGTAAGAAAGACAGAAATTCTCAGACCTTATACTAAAGCTGCTAAGCCTAAATCTCCCAGCAGGTGCCCAGAATTGTGTTCTAATAAGCTATACCATCGGCATACCTGCTCTATGCTAATATAGTCAGTAATAAGATTCTCTCACAGGCAATGCACAGGAACTCAATTCCATTTTCATCCATCAAAACTGGCAAGAATCTTTGGTACTTACTATTTTCACACTGCGATTATTCTAGGCACATAAACATGGATGAGTATGAGTTGGAGACAAAATAAATCACAGGATAATATAGTTCCAAAATTTTATTACCGTGGGTTGGAATTGTCCTCAACATAGGCTTCCAAGATCAGACATACTATAGGAAAGTTTCTGGACAAAAGTATAGGCCTAATTTAGTACCCATTTTGAACAACAAAGAAGAAATGTTGTTTTGGATTACTTTACTATGTCTAACTCCAACTTTTTTCCTGTACGATAATTATATTTTTCTACTGCAACTAGGAAGTCATCTTCCTTTGTCAATGATTTAAAGTGAGAAATCGTTTGCTAAAGTTCACATAAATGATTTCCTATCCTCAAAAAAGATCCAGGGCCGGGGATTTAGCTCAGTGCTTCCGCTGCCTGCCTCGTAAGCATAAGGACCCAAGTTCGATCCCCAGTACCAAATAATACATACATACATACATGAATAAAGTTCCAGAGTCCAAACTTGAATATTTGCACTTACCCGTTCACTTAGTTTTGCTGAAAATTCAGGTGATTTGCTTCTATTCTGATGACTTTCATTTTCATACCTGCAGTGCATGAAATGAGGACAGAGATTCCGATTAAGGATTTGTACGCCATGGCTACAGTCTGGCTATTGGGTTATATGTAAGGACCAAAGAAAAAACTTTAGGTTTTGTTTCTGAGTATTATGTTATACACAAAAATAAATATATTGGAGAAGTATTTTATGCTGCAAAGTTAAAACGAAGAGTATAAATATTTGTATTGTGCTAGTATAAACAAAATATATAGTAAACAAATAAAAATAATTAGCTATATTTATCGTCCAAGGGAAATATTAAGGGAAAAAGTATTACTAAAGATAGAGGACACTTCTTAATGCTACAAAGTTCTATGTACAGAACTCGATGCAAAGTTCTATGCCTAACTTAGAATTATTTCAAGGAGGATATAATTCAAATTCATATGCCAGAGTATAGCCTCAAAATATATAAAGCAAAACTGGTAAGAGATAAAAGAGAGAAACTAACAAGCAGGGATATAATTACTAAAAATATAGAAGATCTGAGTCTAAAGGACATATAGACTAAACAATGCATTGACTACCCATATTACATACATCATTTTCAAATACACAAGAGATTAGTAAAAAATTAACAATATCTGATCAGAAAGTCTCAACATATTTCAAAAGCTAGAAATCACTCAAATGTCTATCAACAGTGCATAAACTGTATATAATCTTGCCCACTATTGTGCATACAAACACACCCAACATGCTATGAATCTCACACACTTAAGAGCAGCAGACACAAACATGAACTTTATTGCTTTATTATTACTTTGGTTACTGAATTTCATAAAGATAGACTTCTATATTTTATAGTTACCATTGTGGCTTCTTAGATGAGAAAGTAGTAATTATAAACAGCATGAAAAAAATCCCTGGAAACTTCCTTTATGATATAGGTAGTATATTATTAGTCTGCTAGGACTGCCATAGTAAAACATCACAAATACGGTGTCTTAAATAAAAGAAATGAACTGCTTACAGTGCTGGAGTGTAAGTCCAAGGTATCCAATGGGACTAACTTCCTCTGCTGACCCATTGACATTATTTTCCCTTTGTACACTGTTTCCTAGTGTCTCTCTGTCCTATAATCTCCTTATTAAAATGACACCAGCACTAGGATTAGGGGACCACATTAACATCCTTTGATTAACCCAACTGCTCTTTTAGGTGTCTCTATCAAACATGCAACCTAAGGTACTAGGGATTAAGAATTCAAAACATGAATTTTTGAAGAGCACAATTCATTCTATAGTAGTTATCAGTCATGAGGGCATTCAGATCATGTTAAATTAACTTATACATCTTATTTTGTAATTTTTTCCAAGAGCACATTTTGCTCAAAAATAAATAGAAACTAAAAAATTCATGTAGTTTCAGAATATTCACAAGAAAACAATAGCCTCCATTTGATCCAGGTTACCTTTCTTCCACCTAATTATGTGCCCTTGAATCCTTGAATTCCATCATATTTGAGTCACCCCATCACTTCTAGATCGATACATTTGTAGATTATCAGTGTTGCAAATGAAAGCATGAAATACTTTGACATTCACCAACATTAAAAAAGACCACACCTTAACTGTGGTACTAGTTAGAGCATCTATTTATTGTTACTGCAATTACTTTTTACCTACCTGAAAGACCTATCAATAATAGTTATTATATCCCCATGTCTTAGTGGTACAGGTTCATCAATAGCAGACCCATTTACTTGTGTTGGATTTGTGGAACTGAAATTATACAGTATTGCCTATATGTGGAAAGAAGGGAAAAATATATCACTAATAAAATAGATTAAAAGTGAATTAAAACATTTTAAAAATCAATTTCCCAAAATTCACTTACCTCCTGCTTATTGATTTCAATTTTGCAATGTTGTTTTGACACTACAGGAAGCTGGATACGAATGTCACATTCACTTCCCCTTAATACAAAAACATTAAGATTTTTTTTTTGCTTGTTTCAACTTCTTAAAATTTACCTCAATTTCTCAAAATAAAGCAGAATTTGACTAGTAAGCTTGACCTATAAATATACTGACATGAGGAATAACAAAATGGGCAGTGCAAATAATCTATTTTTCCAACAGTTTTTATAAACATTGCATAAGAAGCTAAATGAGTATCTAAATACTGACAATTTTATCAGGAAACATCAGAATGCAAATTAAGTTACCTTTACTATAAATAGCTATAGACTTGAGAAAATAATCAAAAAATTCATCTGGAACAAGAGACTTAGAATAGCAAAAGCAATTCTAAGCAACAAAGACAAGGTAGGGGGTATCAATCCTCAATTTGAAACTATACTACAAAGCTATTGTGATAAAAAAACAAAAAAACAAAAAAAAAAACAGCACGGTACTGGCAAAGAAACAGATCCAAGGACCAGGGGAACAGATTAGAAGATGCAGAAACAACACTAGACACATTCAACCACCTCAGCTTCGACAAAGGAGCCAAACACCCACTGGAAGAAAGATAGCCTCTTTAATAAATGGTGCTGGAAAAATTGGGTTTCAACATGCCAAAGATTAAAACTAGACCTATATCTCTCACCATGCACTAAACTAAAATTGAAAGGGATTGAACAGCTAAATATTAAAACAGAAATACTAAACTTGCTGGAAGAGTTTAGGTAGAACTCTTGAAGACATTGGCATAGGAAAAGATTTCAGGAACAAAACTTCAGTCACACATGAAGTAGCACAAAGAATAAACAAACTGGGATCTCATCTAAAGCTACTGCACAGCAACAGAAACCACCAACAGTGTGAAGAGAAAACCCACAATGTGGGAAGAAATTCTTAACCAGCAGTTCTTCAAATGTCTTTCTAAAATGTATAAAGAACTTCCAAAAATCAGATCTCCCAAATTTAAAGATCCAAACCATAAATGTGCATCGGAAATGAACAGACATTCCTCAGACATATAAGTAGAAATAGCAAATAAACATATGGAAAAATGTTCAACATCACTGGTCATTTGAGAGATGCGAATGAAAACAGCACTGAGATTCCACCTCACCCCAGAAAGAATGGCTGCTATCATAAAATCAACCAACAACATGCTGGCAGGTAAATGTATAAAGAACTTCCAAAAATCAGATCTCCCAAATTTAAAGATCCAAACCATAAATGTGCATCGGAAATGAACAGACATTCCTCAGACATATAAGTAGAAATAGCAAATAAACATATGGAAAAATGTTCAACATCACTGGTCATTTGAGAGATGCGAATGAAAACAGCACTGAGATTCCACCTCACCCCAGAAAGAATGGCTGCTATCATAAAATCAACCAACAACAAATGCTGGCAGGGTGATGGGGAAAAACGAACAAGGCTCCACTGTTGGTGGGAGTGTAGACTGGTGCAACCACCATGGAGATACCTCAAAGAACTAGGACTAGAGGTATTGTCTTGTTTGACCCAGCTATTCCCCTGCTGGGTATCTTCACAAAAGAATTAAAAAAATCATACCAACAGCAATATATGCACCCATGTTCATAGCAGCAGTTTGTAACAGCTAAAACATGGAAACAGCCCAGTTGCCCATCAGATGAAGACTGGATAAAGAAAATGTGAGTTTTTTTTTTAATGGAGTACTACTCAGCCATAAAGAATGAGAATTACAGACATTTATAGCTAAATGGATGCACATTGAGGTGACACTTAAGTGAAATGAATAGGACACACACTGAATATTTTCTCTAGTGTGAGATCCTGAAAGTGTAAATAGGATCAAAATGTATAATTGATAATGTAAAATAGGAAGAAAAGGTGCAAAGGGGAAGGGGAAGGAGGAGGGGTAGGTAGGGGAAAGAAAAGAAGGGAATGGAACTAATATGAAAAAATGGAAACAAAGTGTTTGTAAATAGGGAGGGTTGGAGGTGTTGAAGGTCAGGGGAATGGGGGAAAAATAAGAATAAAGATATATTATGTAAAAGTACAAATCTCCAATGATGAATGTCATTATACTGTATAGCAAAAATGTACCAACAAAATTAATAAAAAATATATAAACAGCCATATTTAAAAGATGCAAATAAGAACTTCATGTCAATTTTGGAGAATAACTATTTCTAACGCTCCATGCTTTTAAAAAATTTTTAGGTATGTTTATTTAAATAGTGATAAAAGTTTAAAGATTTAACCATCCCCAAAGTGCAATATTTCATATTAGCACCTCTCTGTTCCTCCATTTCTTTCTGTACAAAAATATTACATTAGCACCCATGTCATGGTATTGTTCAAACAATTAAATAAATTGTACATGTCACTCATGTTCCTGCCACACAATAAATATCATTATATGTGAGCTTTTCCTTGCTGTTTTAAAACTATCCTGTCCTAACTCTCATAACATTAAAAATAGTGATCTGGGGGCCGGGGATTTTTAGCTCAGTGGTTATATCACCTGCTTCACGAGGACAAGGACCTGAGTTCGATCCTTGGTACCAAAAAGCAAAAACAAAAACAAAATAGTGATCTGGAAGCAATGAAAAAAATCAGTTCAATATGCATTTCTACAGAAAGCTAACACCATGGAAAAGCACAGAAAAGACTATTCCTAAACCCACCCCCAAATGAACAGCCAGAAAAGTTCACTAGTATTAGTCTCTAAAACTGCTGGTCTATCCTATGGTTTTAAATTTGAATATTCTCCATGAATTCATGTCATATGAACCTCCAGAGTCAAAGCATATCTCTTCCTACCCTGTCACATGACCAAACACATACGGATTGGTTGCAAAATAATGAAGTTTTGCAAAAAGATATGATACTGCTATATAATAACCAAAATGATTATTTGAGGTTGGAATTTTTTTTTTTAATAAAGCAAGCTATGGAAATTGTCAACTTCTTTAACCACAGGAAGGGAATTTGAGTTTTAGATACTGGAACACCCCAGCAAAAAAAAAGTCTGTATAATTAGAACTGGGTTTTGCTTAGTAGGAGAATCACTACAAAACAGGATTTCTCAACACCACTTGCCCTCTGGACCAGAAAATTCTTCACTGTCAGACTGCCCTGTACACACTGGATGCTTTGCTACACCTCTGCCCTGTGCCAGTGAGGCAGTGACATACACCTCTCATAGTTACATGGAAAAATGTCCCCAATCTTGCCCAATGCCTCCAACAGATAAAATGGTGCTCCTATGAAAACCACTTAGTTATCTCTTGATTTCAAATCCAACCTCCAGTGTCTTTCCACTGGATACCAACCAGTGTAATTTACTAATCACCACTCATGTGCTACACATCACACCTGTCCCTGAGTACATAATTATCATCAAGACAGCCTTTGCCCTTGGAATTTAGTCTAATAGGAGAGACAAACCAAACCAAACCAAAAAAGCTCATCATCAATCTATGTTCTTAGGAAAACCAAGGTTTCATTAAAGGCTTGTTTTCAGGTAACTGATTGAACAGATAGATACTTGAAAAAGAGAAGAGTTACTCAAGCACAAGAATAAGGAGTGCAGCCCAGTCATAAAATTCAAACTTTGTAAAAAGTACCAAGAAAAACAAGAGCTCGGAATATCTCAGGCTGGAGGAATGGTGAGGAATGGAGCTGGGAGGATGGGGTGAGACCAGAATGGGGGCTAGAATTTAAACCACAGAGAGGTGACTCGATCACAGGTCCACAGCGACACCTTAGAAGACGTGGGGGGGGGGGGTTAGTAATGGTGTCTGTTATTTCAGGAAGTTATCGTATCATCCAAAAAGAAAGCTGAGGAAAACCTCTCAAAGCACAGTAAGAGGATTTTCCCTCCCGTTTCGTTTTTCCAAAAAGAGAAGGAGCCACCTGCTTGCCTCTTTCATTCTCAAGGTCCAGAAAGCCAGCGCATGCCCAGTGGGGAGAGACACAAGGGCTCACGTAGTCTTTTTAGAGGGCGGGAGGTCAATCAGGTTTGAAACCATCTACTCTCTGCATCACAAGATTTTTATCAAACCAACTGTAAAACTTTTGCTTGTTAAAGAAAACAACAGGTAACCCAGTCATCAGACGTGTATAAATATAATTTTCAAACTTCCACTTAGTGATAACTATATCAAATGGCTGATGTGTGGAGGCATTTAGAGGCAAAAGCCCCCAAAGTATGTCCGGGGGCTATCAAACTGCGACCACTTTCATCTCTGCTCTACAGCGTCCCGAGCCCCGGCTCACCTTCCGAACAAGCAGGTGCTAAGGCTCAGAGGAAAGGGGATGCCGTCCACCCCACTCCTTTTGATGGTAACAAGGCGTGCCGTGGACCCCATTTTCTAAACTAGCTGCTAGTCTAATCCGGGTAGGAAGGAAGATTTCAATCGCAGAGGCAAACTCATAAGCACCTCTTCCACTGGAAAAAAAAAAAAAGTGGGCATTACTCTGACAGCAAAGGAACTAATGTAATTTTCAGGGACTAACCGTGTCCGCCGGTGGAGTTACCCGACACCGCCGCCCTGGTCCACACTTTAAACCAACTGTGGGGACCCCGGCCCGATGGGAGCGCCACAAACCGCCTCCGGAACCCCAAAGTCCCGCAGCTAGACCACTCCCCCTGGGGTCCGCCCCGTCGGAGTCCCCCGAGAGCCCCGTCCAGAGCCAGGCGCCTCC